CAGCCCTCTATTTGTATTTCAATTGCCGATACGTTTAACTTATAGAGGGGCTTTATGAGCTTTAGGGGAAAGCACTGACTTATGTGATGAATCAGCTCAATTTACAAATTCTGAAACACATTTTGTGATTTTGATTTTCCACAGTACTATAACAGACACCTCTTAGCTTTTCATGTATTTTCAAATTGTACTTTTTGGAGTACTGGAAAATAAATGTGTCCGTCTCTAACTTTGGGTCAACGTCTGTTGTTCAAACGAATAAAACATGATTTCAGACATCCTGGATGTCTGAAGTATAGTTTATCATTTCAAAAAGATTAATTCAACACAGTTCAGTGTGCCATCAATGCTGACCATGCAGAAATCAGTCAAAGTCAGTCAAAGTAGAGCATGCCTCTGTGGATGCTCTGCAGGTTAAGAACATGAGCTATTTATAAACTCCTCCACTCCTACCATTTTTCCCTCTCCCCTCCACCTCTTCAAAAATCAAACAGACTGTGAAGGCCATGGTATGCTGGTTGGTTTCCTGCATCCTTTTATTTTATTTCACACTCAGACAAGAGAAAAAATGGATTTTTAACAAATCTAAACATGTCACATATGTGACAGTGCTGGTTAATAGCAATAAGTCCTTTTAGTAAGCTCAAGCTAAAGTATTCATTCTCTGGTGCGTCTATATCTTTCTACAGCGCATGAGTGAAGCGTGCAAAGCAAACAGATGCAATGGTGTGTTTACATCTTTCATTACTCAGTGAATCCTCTCTGCAGGCTGACCTTTCCTCGTCATATGGGTATAATCTAATAACAATAATAACTTCATTCATATTCTCCATATTTTTCTGTAAGTTTCATAGTGCATCCTGCACGTGTGAGCATATTTTCAGAATGATACGGGCTTTTTACAAACACGTGGTCATAATTAAGGATTTGTATTGTCTATAAAAAGCGCTTTATACATGACAACAGTGACTCACGCATTGCCGACGTATATCCTCGGGTAGACCTCGTGGAAGTGTTTTGTTGGCCAGCTGTAGAAGCCGCTTTCGTCCGTCAACAGATCGTTGAGTTGCTGGAGTGACACCTCAAAGCTGGACATGTCGAATCGGTTGGAAGCCGATGTCTTCACCTGTTGGTTATGTTTGTTCTTCATGTCCGAAGCAGAGCAGTGGATCCGCCGAGAAGGAATGAACGTGGCAGATAGGTATCGGCTTACCAGGCTGATGGAGCGCTCTGCTGCTCTGAACAGCGCGCTGCTCAGTGTGGGCTAGATTAAACCC